CCCCCCCCGCGCTGCCTGCCCCGTGGAAAAAAACCCTCTTTCCCCAGCGTCACCCTGCTGAAACAGCAGTATTGAACCTTGGTAATATGGCCCCTAAGGTAGTATAATCAAGGTAAAAGAAAAATGTCTTTTTGCTAGAAGTAAAATAAGATCTTCCCCCCACTTTGTAATCAATTGCCCTGTTGAACGAATGAGGTGTGAATGAAGAAGGCGTGGAAGGTAGCACCTCCAGACAGCTGCAACCCTAGGAGAGGGGATGGGAGCCAGACCAGATCAGTAGAACAGGTCAGCCACCGACTCCCCGCTCGCCTCCTCAGCCCCCCACCGCCCTGGCTCACCCACTCAGCCCCCCTCCCCCACCGCCGGCTCACCTGCCCCCCCGCCACTGCCCGCCCGCTCATCTCCTCAGCTCCCCGCCCCTCCAGCTTGCCTACTCACCCCCCGCGGGCCGCACAGTGAGCCCACGCGGGCCGCATGTTGTGCAGGCCTGGTGTAGACAGAGCCATTGACTCTCATCGACTTATGTAGGCATTTTTAGTACGCCCTTCATTATTGTATCCAGGTGCCACATATGCCTGGATATGTGGCCAGATATGCAACATATCTAATGTGCATCTGGGGGAAAAAACAGTTTCTAATAGAGGGAGCCTTCCTTCTTAGAGTGCTCGGGATCATTTACTGTCCTCCAAAAGTTTCTCTGAGGAACTGAAGGAAAGCGGACTTATCCTCTGCTCTTCATGGCACTCATCCCTTACCCCCCTGAAACATTGAGATCAGCTTCCTGGCATGAGGAGAGAGCGTGCACAAAATTCTCCCCACCCTGTAAACACACTCTTTCTGTGAGTCCTCTTTCAGAACCAGCCCTGAGTGACAGATGGGCAGAACAACTGTTTATAGGAGTGATATGGATTGCTCTTGGATATTAGCTGGGTAATGCTTAAATAGTCTACCTGGCTGTCTATTTATAATGCACCGATCATCACAGTATCTTAACTGGCTGAGCGAAGAGGGACTCTCCCAGGCAGGAAGAAAAGATATGAGAATGGTGGGAAGGAGGGGGAACTGAGGAACGGGGGACACACAAAGCACTCTGGAATGTGGGACAATGGTATGGAGGAGGGACACATGAGAGACTCAAAGAGCTCCCTGGCATATGGCAGAGATGGAATGGGGGTGGGGGGGCACACAGAGCCCTTGCCATGGTGGGGAAGGGGAGAATGAAGAGGAGAATGAGGAACAGTGGTATGGGGGCACACAGAGCCCCAGGCATGATGGGAAAATGGGGGACACTAGAGGGAGAGGGGGATGAGGAACCCACAGAGCCCCTGGCATGGAGGACAGGGGAACATGGAGTCCCATGAAATAGAAGGGTAGAAGGGTGGCACACAGGAGCTTGCTGGGGCAGCAACTGGAGGGATGCACAGAGCCCCTGGTCTGTACAGTATGCTCAGCCTATTGAAGCATGCAGCCCTCTAGGATGGCGTATTGCAACAGCATCAGGGGCAGACATGTTGCTAATCATTACAAGCATCTTTGGATTTCAAGGCTACAGTAAATGGTTATTTACTGTAGCCTTAGGGTAATTACCTTTTATCGCCAATAGTCCCAGGCCTAGAGTTAGCGTCATTAAGTAGATTGCCAGTGCAGTCCAAACACAGCACACAGAAGGCTTCTTCTTGCTTCGCGGTTCTAAAGTCCAGCAGAAACAAAACAAACATCCTTTCAAATCATGTTCACTGTGACATCCTCTGTTCATTTACAGCACACACATTTCTTTGGCCAATTCTGTGCAAATAAAGTATTTGTACCATTCTTGAAACACGTGCCTTATCCACACGTGCAGGGGCATGTAGCTGCTGGGAAAAGCAAGCTGTGTGCACACTACAGTGTGTAGCTACATGCAACCGTGAAAAGCTCTGGCACCGGGGAAGTAGCAGGAAAAGGGTCTGGCAGGGGGGAGCTCCTGGAGTCTTTCCCCGCCGCCTCCCCCTGCCAGAGCCTTTCCCCACTCCGAAAGCCATTCACTGTGGCGGGGCAAGGCTCTGACAACATAAGAACATAAGATCAGGAAGATTCCTGCAATAGAAGGCACTGTACACAGAGTTACAGTAGGAGCACTCTGTTGGTACTAAAAGGGGAGGAAGTCCTGTGAAAGGGCTTTAATTTTAGAAGCTACAGTATTTAAAAAAAAAAAAAAAAAAAAAAACGAACTTTTCAAAGAATTGTTCTTCAAAACAGCTATTCTGTCCCCATCTGCACACACTAAAAGATCCAGAAGCACATGATCCTGTGAGCAATCTACAAACTCTTAGTTAAACAGGAGTTTCATGCAGTGAGTGCTAGGATTGTACAGGCTGTAAGTCCAGGCAAACTTAGAATATAAGAACGGCCCTACTGGGTCAAACCAAAGGTCCATCTAGCCCAGTAACCTGTCTTCTGACTGTGGCCAATGTCAGGTGCCCTTAATTGAGTTTAGCGAACTGTATGATGCTGAGTTATAATGATTAAAAGGAGCATCATCTTCATTAATGTTACAATAGAATTGTTTTGAGTCAGCAACAGTGTTTTTACATTCACCTGCAATTCATACATTTACATTTTCGGTTAGCTTTTGGTGATTTGAATATCTGAAATATTTTAGGCATTGAAATTTTACACAATGGAAATTTATTTAGGTTATTTAAAAACCACTGGAAGAAAAAATGATTAGTATTTGCTGGAGACTATCTCAGCATTTTTGGCTGGAAGAGATGCGTCCCAGATACATCTCTTTATTAATATTCAGATACATTTAGGAGCAAAAGTCACAGTAAAAAGGCATTGCATATGTAACGCAAATAGCTGATCTATTTTCTTCATAGATAAGCCTAAATACTTATAAATCAATTTAATTAAGCAATAAAAGTACTTTACCATATAGTTCAAATGTGGTGGTACCAGATGAAGCAAACCTAATCTTGTCTGACATTGTGAGTATTTTGGTATCATTCGAAATTCCATCTTCATTGTAACTCTTTGGATTTTCCATGGTGAATTTTTTATAGTTAACCTAGAGTCCTGTCAGATTAGAGACACCAAGGAAATAAGGAACTTTCTACTTCATCTGCTGAATTTATGTCATCTGCTATGCATTCCGATTAACTCGATTTTTCTAGACTTGCAAGATACTTCTGATGTGGTAATTTGATCAGTTCCTCAAAAATCCTATAACTAAGATGTTTAGCTTCTCTCTTGTGCTTATATTAGAACACAATCTGGATGGACCCTGCAGTTTGATCCTGCAAGGTGAACTCAATAAGAATAGTGAATGCTCAGATTTGCTTAGCACTTTGCAGCATTTGAAGCCTAAGTGGCCAGCCCATATGCAGGTAAAACTCCCACTGAAGCCAATATGATGTTTGGTTGAACACAGACTTCAGGATCAGTTCCTTAGGGACAGAAGGCTAAATGTTGAGTGTTAACACAATAGTGTAGCTTGCACTGAAATGACATTTAGTAAGTGCGCAAAATGAGCATGATTGGGGGAAGGCACTAACAAGAACATGTAAGGGTATGTCTACACTGCAAATAAAAGATGTGTTCTTACCTCGGGTTAGCTAACTCAGGTTAAAATAGCAGTGAAGACATCACAACTCACCTTTTAACTCCTTTAAGGTTAGCCTCTTGAATATAAGACTATAGAGAAGACTGGGGTTGAACGCAAGCTGCTAACCTGAGTTAAAAGCGGAGTTGCTGTGTCTTCACTGCTATTTTAACCCAAGTTAGGAACACACCTTTTATTTGCAGTGTAGACATACCCTAAAACAAAGCAGGTCAAAGCAGGGGACCTGAAGATCACTGGGGTGGATTTCAAGTAAAAGGAGTATGTAGAGAAAGTGGGAGGGCTGATTTCTCTTATACACTCCTTTTAGCCCTTGTCTACACTTGCAGCGGCATGTAAGGTACATGTAGCTACATGCTGCAGTGAAAAGCAGGCTGCATCTACACTGTGGTGTGTAGCTACATGAGGTGGTGAAAGGCTCTGGTAGGGAGGAGGCAGCTCCCCCTTGCTGTCTGGCTCTGCCCTCCCAACCTTCCAGATCCACCACCCAGTTGCATTTATGAGGGGTTTGTGTAGCCTTCCAGGCTGTACTTCCTTCCTTTGTGATACATTGGGGCAGGCTCTTTGCTCCTTTTCTCCCCACCCCTCTACAATGTGGAACAGAGGGTTAATTAACAGGGTGATAAAAAATGTGTCTGGCCATGAGAGCCTTATTTACAGTCATGCCCCCACCGGTGAACTGATGATAGCAGCATCAGTGTAAAACTCTTTAGTGTAGACTAGGTTGATCTGTGCTGAGAGCTAAGTTAGGTAAACAGGGCTCCTGGTTACCTACAAAAGGACAAATCTTATTGGCAAATATGAAACTGCTGAGGCATTCAGATTACTTACTGAACTTCACCCAAACCACTCCAAGGAAGTTCACATCATCTCTGCTAGTACTAATGCATTAGTACATTACTTTGTGAAAGTTTGGCCTAATGGGAGCTGCATCAGGCGTTTAAGTAATTACTTAAATAAGAAATGACAATAAGAGAAGGGCCACAGGGCACAAACGGATCTTTAGATGAAGGAGAATGCTGATCAAACCTTGCAACTGGGATGACAGTGATAGAGAAACATAATAAGAAAGTGATTTGCTAAAGGCTGCGTCTGCTGAGAATCACAAAACTCCCTATTTTTCAAATTCAAATACAACAGGTCTCATCGAATCAACATTACAAAAGTGGATCCTGAAAGCAAATGAATGGCAAATGCTTATGCCTTCCATTATTCAAGAGCACTACAACTCATTATCATCTAACAAGCTATTTAACAATATATTTTAAAACACAAGCACACAATTAAGAAACAACTGTAAAATAGGACTAGAAGATAGACATTACTATAGGATTCCCAACTACCTGATGAGATTTTGCAGTACTCCTGGTCACTGATGACTTTATTCTAGAATCCCAGTAATCAACCTATTGGTAACATTTTGCATATGGTAATTGTGGGATATGTAGCATGAAACTATGATGCTTTTCCCCCTTTTTTTAAAATGCCATGTACTTGATCTCCACCTTTCTCAGAAGCCTGCCAGCATGGAGAGACAGCAGCCAGTTTGCTCTGAGAATTGCTGCAGCCCGTAGGGAGGAGGAACACACACTGTGCTCTCTCAGTAAGTCGAGTGGTTCTCAATCAGGGGTACATGGTTGAGGCATGTAGGCCCAAATCCGCAAGGGTATTTAGACACCTAGTTGCTGTTAAATCACTGGAAGTTCAGTGCCTATATACATTTGAGGATGTGGGCCTTGGTCTCTCTGTGCATCAGTTCCCCACCTGTAAAATGGAGATAACAGCCCTCCCCTACCTCACAGGGGTGTTCTGAGTAGGTGACCAGATGTCCCGATAAAATCAGGACTGTCCCAATATTTAGCTGTTTGTCCCACGTCCCGACCGATGTACGGTCGGGACGCAATTTGTCACGATATTTGGCGCCTGGCTGCCCCTGACCCTAGGAGCCAAAGGGACCTGCTGGCTTCTTCCTGGGAGCCACCCCAGATAAGCGCCGACCAGACCTGCCCCAGCCCTCAGGTGAGGAGGCAAGTGGCGGGCAGGGCAGCCAGGGGCAATGGGGCATGCATGGCATGGCCAGATGCACATTGGTCCACCTGGCCCTGTGCTGCCAGGGTGGCCCTTCTTGTTGGGGGTGGGCCCACACAGCTCCCGCACCAACACCCCCCAGACCTGCTATGCCCAGTGCCCCCCCACAAACCTCCCCACAAATGCACAGTGCCCTGAAACCACCACAACTGCCCAGAACCCCCCACACAACTCCACACTCCCTAGTTCCCCAACACACACAGATCTCCCCCTCCCCCGCGACCCAGTGCCCTTCCCCACAGCCCCCCCACCACAACTACACAGTGCCCCACACAGACCCCTCTGCCCAGTGCCCTGACACACACAGATCTCCCCCACTGCCCAGCGCCCCCCACAGGCTCCCTACTGCCTAGCACCCCAAAACACACCAACCTCCCCCACTGCCCAGCACCCTCCACCCCTTTACAGCCCAGTACCACCCACCCCCACAGTCCTCCCAGACACTCCCCCACGCCCTGCCCCCCTCCCCTTGCCACACTCACCCGCCCTGCTTAGGGGGAGGTGACTTTCAGCTGGGCTCAGCCAGCAGCACAGCCGGGGCTGGAACTGGAAAGCTGCTGGCTGGAGCCGGGGCCCTGCCAGGCGCGCCATTTCAGATTTTGGTGTGTGTGTGTGTGTGGGGGGGGCAACTTTAACCGTTATTCCAAGGGCTCCTTCGGCACCTGAAAACTCTAGGGTTTTTTTTGTAGATGGCTTAGAAATTAGCTGACAGGAGGACTATCTAATTCCTATGTAAAAAAAGAGGAGTTAATAAATATCAGACCCACTCAACTCTAATACTAACATGTTCTCACATCTTGGGTCAAGTCACTTAAGGAACACTGGTTAGGTTGAAACATTTAATGTACATTCTTTGTCACTAACTCTTGAATACAACAATTGAAACAATTGTAGAAAAATCTAGATGACTTTCTATCACTTTTTTGCAGTTCATCAAG